AAATAAGTCAGTAACCACAGTGTTGCAAGAGACAGCAGCAGGTGAATTGCAAAGAATCACTGGCCAGAGAATTTAATAAACATCTCTCCTTAACCATAGAAATTAGTTTCAGCAGACCATTGTCTCCACTCTACCTCATCCCATCCCTGTCCCACAATAACTGATTCCAAATCTCACAGGATATCTCTGAGGAAAGTTGTGGAATATTCCTTTACACTGTGTAAATTATGCTGTGATTGATTTAATAAAGAAGCTGACTGCCCAATAGTTGGACAGGATAACATTAGGTGGAAGCCGGGCGTTGGTGGCACACACCTTTAATCCCAGCACTCAGGCAGATCTCTGTGAGTTCGAGGCCAGTCTGGTCTCCAGATCGAGTGCCATGATCGGCTCCAAAGCTACAGAGAGAAACCCTGTCTCAAAACAAACAAACAAAAAGATTAGGTGGGGACACCAGACTAAGGACCCTGGGAAGAAGGGCAGAGTCAGAGGAGTCACTAGGTGGACACAGACAGGAAACACGAGGTGCAAAATGAAAGAGAGGTACCACCACATGGCAGGATGTAGATTAATATAAATGGGTTAATTTAAAATGTAGGAGTTAGCTAGTAACAAGCCTGAGCTGTTGGCAAAACACTTACAATTAATATTAAGTCTCTTTGTGGTTATTGGGGAGCTGGCTGATGGGACAGAAAAGCCCACCTATAGAAAGTGTGTCCCAGGGAGTATATTAAGTAGTATTGGTCTCCTGGTTTTGAAACCTGTCTGTATTGTTTAATAAAGATATTAAATTCAGAAAAATATCTCAACTTTCTTAAACTGTAACCTGGGGATAGCAATCCACTTTACAATCCCTGGGGAGATGGCTCAGTGAGTAAGGTGCACACACAAGTATGAAGACCTAAGTTTGGATGCCCAGCACCCAGGGAAAATCCAGATATGTTGGCTTGTATTTATAACTCTGGCATTGAAAGTGGTGGAGACATTAATTCTAGGGGTTTGCTGGCTAGCATAAACAGCATCTGGGGTCGATGTGCACTCCCTTGTTCAGGCCAACTGTTCCTGTGGGTTTCTCCAACCTGGTACAGACCCCTTCGCTCTTCATTCCTCTCTCTCTTCAACTAAATTCCCGATTTCAGCTCAGTATATATCTGTGGATGTCTGTCTCTGCTTCCATCAGCCACTGGATGAGGACTCTAGGATGGCATAAAGAGAAGTCATCAATCTCATTTTAGGGGAAGGGCTTTTAGGTTATCCTCTCCACCATTGCCTGGATTGTCAGATCGTGTCATCCTGTCTCTGGAGATCTCCCTAGTTCCAGATCTCTTCTGGAACCTATAGTGGCTCCCGCTGATATGGTATCTCTCACCCTTAGAGTCCTTCATGTTTCCTAGTTTCTTTGGTGAAGAGGATTATAGGCTGGTAATCCTTTGCTCTATGTCTAAAATTCATGTATGAGTGAGTACATACCGTGTTGCCTTTTTGTGACTGGGTTACCTCACTCAGGATGGTTTCTTCTAGTTCCATCCATTTGCCTGCGAATTTCAAGATTCCATTGCTTTTTTTCTGCTGTGTAGTACTCCATTGTATAAATATACCACATTTTCTCAATCCATTCTTCAGTTGAGGGGCATCTAGGTTGCTTCCAGGTTCTAGCTATTGCAAACAATGCTGCTATGAACATGGTTGAACATATATCCTTGTTGTATGAACATGCACTATTTGGGTATATACCCAAGAGAGGAATGGCTGGATCTTGAGGTAGACTGATTCCCATTTTTCTAAGAAACTGCCATACTGATATCCAGAGTGGTCTTACAAGTTCGCACTCCCACCAGCAATGGAGGAGTGTTCTTTTTCTCCACATCCTCTCCAGCATAGATGGTAACATTCTTGAGTTGTTGAAATGAAGGCACACAGAGTAAGGCAGGAGCATTGAAATTTTGAGACTAGCCTGGACTGTTAGATTTTTGTTTAAATTAAATATAAAGAAAAGGGGGCACAAGATGAGACATAAGACTATGAGACACATTAGACATATTAACCAGTTTATTATAGGCCCGTCAGATTAGGGAGACTAGAGAGAAGAGGGACAGGGTTAATGGCTGACCGCATGGCCAGTCACCATAGAGAGGCAGAGAGCACGTAGGTGGGAGAAAAGAAGAGCAGAGCAGAGAGGAGAGAGAGAAAGAGAGAAAGAGATAGAGATAGAGATATATGGAGAGAGAACATAAATGGGTAGGGGTCTGTCTTTTAAAGGGGTCCTTTACTCCTGCATGCAGACTTAGTTCCCATGGAACCCTGGGCTGACCAGGGTACTGCCTATTCTGCCAGGTAACGGGCGGGCCAGCATAATGCCTGAACCTTTCATGGACTTCATAGTACTGTCTTAAAAACAAACACAAATAAACCAAAGCCAGCCAGGCATAGTGACTCAAATTAATTCCACGACTTAGGAAATATAGACAAGTGGATTTGGGAAAATTAGAGGCCACCTTCATCTACATGGTAAGTTCCAGGACAGCCAAAGTGACGTAGTGAAATACTGCCACTTTTTTTAAAGAATAAGCAAAGCATTCTTTTTTTTAAAGAATAAGCAAAACCAAATATTAGCATGCAGGCAAAATCTCGGACTCCTTCTTCTTCCCCATATGTGTACATGAGTGTGTGTGTTCTATGTGTATACATGTGTGGATATGTTGTGCACTACACGCACACAGGCCTGAAGAGGAGGCTAGGTACCTTGCTCTATCACTCTCATCTGCCCTCTTTGAGACAGGAGCTCTCACTGAACCTGGAGCTAGGCTGCCTATCTGAAGCTGCAATGATGTTTGAGTGTCCACTAACTTCAAATTGCACAGCACAGGGGTTACAGGAACCCTCATGGCCACACTCAACTGTTTACATAGACACCAGGATCTAAACTCAAACTTTTGTGGATGAACAGCAAGGACACTTCAACAACGAGTAATCTCTACAGCTCTCAGTTACAAATTTGTTATGATAAATTCCCAGAAGTGTTTCTGCAAGTTCAGAGGCCTCAAATCATGTAAAATTGCAATAATGGACTATGTCTCAAATATAATTTATCCTGTAAAATTAATACAAGGTAAACTTTTTATTTTTTATGAAGCGAATAAAAATATGAAGGAAAAACTGTTAATGGTTATTACGTTAACATCTACAATTTTGTTCTGCTTCTCTCCTCCCATCTTTATTATTGTGCAAGTGTGCATGTGGGCGTGTTGCAAAACACACAGGGAAAGAAAGGTTAGAAGTGGGTATTGCTCTACAAATTCCAGGTTGTGAGAAACTGTCTCAAAAAACAACTTAGAGAGGGATAGTTAAAGACAACAGGAGAAAGCCTGGTGGCAGTTATGGCGCACGCCTTTAATCCCAGCGCTCCAGAAGCAGGGGCAGGAAGATCTCTGGGAGGTCAATGCCAGCCTACTCTACAGAGCACGTTCTAGGATAGCCAGGGATACACAGAGAAACCCTATGCCAAACAACCAAAATCAAAAAAACAAGCTGAGGCTGGAGAGATGTCTCCTCAGTTAAGAGCACTTATCGCTCTTGTAAGAGAATCTGGGGTCCGTCCTCTGTACTTACGTGGTGGTTCATAACAATCTGTAATTCTAGTTCCATGGGGCCCTTCAACCCTCTTCTGACTTCTGACGGCGCCAGGTACTTCTGAATCACCCGGGTTAAACTCCTGCACCTCATTAAACCATCACAATTTGGGGGAGCAAAAGCAGCAGGTAATGCTGTAGTTAGGCTTCAGTTCCACGAAAGTGTGTAGTCATCTGACACAGCCAGGCAGAAATTCCAGACCTCCGGACTGTATGGAATCACCTTTGCAGGCCTCCTGAATATAAAGAAAAGCCTTTGCATACTATAAGAACGACCTTTGTGGACCTTCATGCTGTAAAAAAAAAAAAAATACTACCTTTGTTGAGCCGCTGAAACTAAAGATCTACCCATGCAGCACCCCTGAATGTAACGAACTATGTCTGCAAGAGTTGTAGAAGTCTCGCAGGATGTTCCATTGCCAGCAAACATAGGGGGTTTAAGAACAGAAAGTTACATTTTTCTACTCCCCCCACCTCGTGCATCGATCTTGGAGACGGCATTTCCTGTAAGGGTTCTATTTTCTTTGTGCGTCTCCTAGGAAGTGGTTGGAGCCAACCGTTGTTCCTTGTCAACTTCATGGGTCTCTAAGGCGCCAGATCCTGATTACAGTTTCTCCTATGGAAACTCCGTGAGGACGTTCTGTCGTGTAGAGTCCCCGCCCTCAGAAACCACCCATGGGTGAGTTACTCAAGCTTGAGGCAGAGACAATTCTGCTTCCCCTTTCCCACTATCAAGATACCTTAGAAAATGGGAACGCATGTGGTGAGGGTGCAGGCTTGTTGTTTATGACTCATAGAGACCTAGTGAAGCTGGGTAGATTATCGTGGGAAAACTTTCCTCCTGTATCTAGGGTCACGGTCACGGTCACGGCCAGAGTCATGGCTGAGCTGAGCTATTTTCCTCGGGCTTAAAGGAAAGGTTTGAGACATTTTCTTTTCTCAGGCCTGCTTTTGAAGCTGAAAATTGTTTGCCAGCTGCGGCGTGGGGGGTTGGGGGACCTGCGGTGAGGTGTGGGGAGCAGGCTGGTAGTAAACTAAAATTAATGTTCATAGTGCGGGTAATAGAGGGACGTGGAACACACAGTCACCTTTGAATCTTCGCTGCCACAATTACAAATTTACCAGTTACAAAAGGTAAACTTTTGGCCCAGCTGACCATCTGTTCTAAAACGTCGCCTTGTTCACTTGAGGATATCTGTTTCGAATATTATTCCTGTTTGAATTTCAAAGCTTAACTGCAGCAGGCTTGGGTTTCATTTTGCTCCTGCCCCACTGTGTCTTTTTTTTTAATTTCTCAAATATTTGATCTTGAAATACTGTTTTGACACCGTTCTCCTACCTATTTTAAGGACTTTAACATGTTTTATTTGCTTACCCTTTTAATTTTACCTCATCTTATTGTGAATCATTTATTTAATTTATCTATTCATGTACCTTATTCTGAACTTTTTCTTGAACTTCTTTCCAAATCCCCCTTCATTTTCTCTTTTACTGTGTCTGTTCTTAATTTCTGATATCACATTTTTGAGTTCTCAGAATTCTGCCCTTTTTATGTATTTTTCAGTTGTTGGCTAAAGATTTCGACCATTATTGTCAATTTTAATGTCATTAGCTGGTTTTCCTGCTTAGCTTTTAATTGTTCATTTATTGGGGGGGGGAGGTTGTTGTCGTTTTTAATATTTATTTACTTACTGTACATACAGTGTTCTGTCTGCCTGTTTGCCTGCATGACAGAAGAGGGCACCACATCTCATTACAGATGATTGTGGGCCACCATGTGGTGCTGGGAATTGAACTCAGGACCTCTGGAACAGCAACCAGTGCCCTTTAACCTCTGAACCATGTCTGGTAATCTTCATCCTACCTTTACGTATGTGTGTTTGTATGCATGCCTCTGTGTGTGTGTGTGTGTGTGTGTGTGTGTGTGTGTGTGTGTGTGTGTGTGTTCTTTTTTGGTTTTTTGGTTTTTGTTTTTTTGACACAGGGGTTCTCTGTGCAGCTTTGGAGCCTGTCCTGGAACTGGTTCTGTAGACCAGTCTGGCCTTGAACTCAGAGATCTGCCTTCCTCTGTCTCCTGAGTGCTGAGATTAAAGGCATGTGCCACCACCTCATGGCATTAATTGTAAGCATTTCAAAGGCTCAGATGGGAGTGGAGGGGGAGGGATTCTGGCACTCGGGAGCCACAGAATACTGAGTGTTACAGCTCAGATGGAAAGGTGTTCTGGCAATCAGGAGCCAAGGAATACCACAGTCACAGTAAGCATAGCAGCTTGGTAGTCCTGCTTAAGGAACAGGCTTACCTGGTGTATCAGCTCTGCTCAGACAGGAGAAGGAGAAGACAGGAGAAGGTTTCCCCCAGAGAGTGGAGTGTAGCAACTTTGCTTTGCCAGAGCAAGGTTTAACCAGTGGGTTGTCTCTGTTCTGGTGAAGGATGAAGTCATCTCCTTACAGGGGAGAATTTTGTCATTTGCTAACAAGCAAGCAAGCAAAAACTGTCTGCTGCTGCCACTCACTGTTGCTGTCATGGGGAGCAGAACTAGGCCTAACTGCTGGCGTGAGGACTATACGAACCCTGAGTTGCAAGGTTTCTAAAAGGCCAGACCTTAAAACCATATGCACACAGCTCCATTACCACCAGTATAGCCAGTAGGCACTCAAATGTCACAGATAGAATCAGGACTAAAAATTCAGCTATGACCCATCAGATTCAGAACATTTTTACATAAATGTTTTTGATTACACTAATTATACTTCCTATTTCTTCTTGATTTGAAAATTTTGTAGTTTGTATGTGTTCAGAAATTTACCCTTTTCTTCTAGGTTTTCCAGTTTGGGGTATATAATTATAGTATTTTCTTAAGCTCATTTGAATTTCAGTTCTAATGTCTTATTTTTCATTTCTCTTTTTATTTAATTAGTTATTTGTCAGTTCTTAGGTCTTTTTTCTTTGTTAGTCTAGCTAAATAATTATCAGCTATATACTTTCAAAAACCCAACTGGGGGGCGGATGGAGAGATGGATTGGGAGATTAAGAGCATTGGCTGCTCTTCCAGAGGTTCTGAGTTTGATGCCCAGAAACCACCTGGTGGCTTACAACTATCTATAATATCTGGTGCTCTCTTCTGGTATGCAGCCAGAACACTGAATACATAATAAATAAATAAATCTTTTTAAAAAAAAAAAAAAGCTCAGCTCTTTTTAAACTGATTTCTTGTTTTTATCACATGTCAAATCTTTTTATTTTATTATTAACTATAATTTTTCATTTATTTTACATGCCAGTGGCAGTTTCCCCTCCCTCATTTCCTTCTAGTCCCTCACCCCGACTCCCTTGTGCCCCCCAATCCATTCCTCCTCTGTTTCTATTCAGAAAGGGCAGGCCTTCCATGGGTATCAACAAAGCTTGGCATATCAAGTTGAGGTACAGCTAAGCTCCTCCCATTGTATTAAAACGGGGCAAGGCAACACAGTATAGGGAATAGGTTCCCAAAAGCCAGCACAAGTGTTAGGTTCAGGCCCTTCTTCCACAGCTACAAGTCCCAAAGGTAGATTTAAATTGATTTTCTACATTACTTTCTAAATTTTTATTTTTATTTGTGTTCTAATCTTTAAAGTTTCCTTTCACTGACTTTGATTTTGGTTTGTAGTTGCTTTGTTTTTACTTATTGCTTTTTGAAACTGTTGAGTGTAAGTAATCAATGTGTGCTTAAATTTGCATCTTTCTTCTCAATTCCAGAACAAAATTATGAGAAAATCCCTTTCCAAGAACACGAGAAAGATATGGGTACTTCCCAGGAAAGTTCTAGTAAAGAGAGCCTTTATGATGGATATTATGGGGACAATCTTCTACTTTCACAACTCCAGGACAATGATGGAAACATTCAGATAAAGTATGGTTATGATTATCCTCAAGTACTAGAGTAAGTAATATAGACAACCTGTCTTGCATATATTATCCCTTGGATTGTACAACTTTCCCAGTCTGTAATTTTTCTCTGATTTCAAAAAAAATGACTAGTGATGGAAGTCCTACTTAGAGAGCTTAGAGAGTGGTTTATCAGTGAATTAAGATTGGTCTTTTTGAATAGAATTGTGACAATTCTAAGTACTTATAGATAGTTCTTTCTATCCATTTCTACAAAACAGCTCATCTACCTTCCCAGTCCAAGAAGATGATGGTACATGTTATGCTGCATGCCAATATATAAATTTTTCAGAGGACGAATGGAATGATAGCATAGAGGACGAAGCCTTTGAGGGCTGGTTCAAGATCACAGTGAGTGTACTCATAGGTGACTAGTGTGCCAGGGAGGCAGGTCAGGTTGTGTTACTTTGATCACATTTATGAGTAGATTTAGAAAAAGGAATAAAAAGACAACAGACTGTGAACAAGAAAGTAAGATCATAGGAGGAAGGCAAAAGTGGAGATGACTTCAAAGAGCATGGAGAAGCTCCCCACCAGTTATCTCAACATGATTCAAACTGAGATTTTTGAGAGCTCTGAAATCTCTGGCAACCAGCTAAGTCTTACATAGTTGGGAATCACCTGCAAGCTTATAAAAGCTTATAAAGGTGAGGTAGGTTTTGAATAACTGGATTTTATTGTTTAGAATATAAACATTGAAATATAGAGAAAGGGCAATTTAGGATAGCCACACAGAGAAAGAAAGAAACTTGGGAAGGAGGGAGAGAAAGGGAAGGAAGGAAGAAAGGAAGGAAGGAAGGAAGGACAACTTGTACAAATTGTCTACACATTACAAGTCTTTTCAAAGAAGTAGATCAGGATAAAACATTGCATTTGATCTGTGTTCTTAGAACCACATTTCTTTTCTCTAGTATTCCTTGTTTTTGCCTACAGATTCCAAATGGGAGAAAGTACAACAAGATGTGGATAATAAATTTACTCCAGAGCCATTGCAGTGTGGCCTTCACACCAGTTGATGTAAGAGACAACTTTGGATCCCAGTGTGTGCACATAGGAGATAAAGAGAGGTCAGGGTCACTACAGGATGCTTGCCTCCAGAATCATTGATGCTGTCTTCATTCCTTATAGTTCCAGTACATCAGAAACCGGATACAGTTCTTTGTTCAAAATGCTCAAAGTGCCTTTGAATTGATGAATATAAACTTCCAGATACGTGATGAGGAAAACAGAAAGGTTGGTGTTGATGGAGTTCCTTTTAACTACTTGTTGCATAGATGAAGCCAGGCCAGGGATGAATAAGTCTGTCTCTAGGACTGGAAGTCCTGATGCTTATCCTACGCTCCCTTCACACAGATCTCTATCTGTGTTTGTTCATCTACCGGGCCTGCATCTGTGCAGTATAAGTTAACACCAGGACAGATGGAGATCCTAAAAGTAAGTCAGACTCGACACACATTGCTTTCACTTCCTAGTTCCCCTCCCTTTCCCCCACTCAATGAAGTACTTGTCACCAAGACCCCAGAGCCTCAGAGCCACTCTCTTCATATCTGTCTCGGCAGCGGAGCATGATGAAACGATATGATGTGTCCCGTAAATCTCTGTCTCTCAAGAAGCTTCGCTTTGACCCAGGTAAGACTGGCAGCAGTAATTGTAGGTCAAGGGTCTTCTAAAAGGAAGACCATGGTAACGAGAGAAGGGGTCTGCACTGGTGCTGGTCCAGAAAGACCTCTCTTTACCTACTAATTACTTCTGCTCCACTTCCTGAAGACTTAATGGATCATGGGCTTGACATATTTCTGAACAGAAGAAGCTGCATGGCAGCCATGCTTCAGATCATCCAAGTGGATTTCCCTGAGGTGAGGCCATAGAGCCATGTGTGATATTTGGTGTAGGGCTGGATGGGTCAGGGTGTAGGGAGCTTTGTCTTTGAGGAACTGTATAGTAATGATTATCCTAAATATTGCTCCCCAAAGCTATTGTCCTTGAACTTGAGCAACAACAAAATATGCTGGCTGGATGGCCTGTCTGAATTAATAGAGAAGGCCCCCCAAGTCAAGATTCTGAACCTTTCAAAAAATGTGGTAAGAGAATGAGATTTGGGCTGTGGGTGGAAGGTAGTGTGCACTGTGATGTGTGACTACAAGAGACAGGAAAGGTTCCTCTGTGTGAAGGTGCTGCGTCCTAGATATATGTCTTTTCATGGAACATCTTTACCAGTTCTCCACATTATTTCTCAGCTAAGAACAGCATGGGAGTTGGAGAAGATGAAGGGGCTGAAGCTAAAAGAGCTGTGGCTAGAAGGGAACCCCATGTGCAGCACCTTCGCAGACAATTCGGCCTATGTAAGGTACATCATGGCAGCTGGCACCTTCCCCTTCGCAGACTCCTTGTCTCCTGGGGGGCAGAGACACACTCTGTGGGGAGAGAGGAATCAAATCTCCAAGCAATTTGATTCCTCTCTCCCCTGTCTCTGTACCCAGCGGTGCTCACAGGCCTCCTTTGATTCTGTTCTTCATGCCCCGTCTCACCTGGTGTGGGCGGCATTTCCCTTATGTGGGTCTTTGGCCTCCTCCAGAAGGCCCTGCCTTGCCTCATCTCAGTAGCACCAGGTCTCCTCTCCGGTCCTGAGAGGAGCCTCCAGATCTTGTTCCTGAATGGTTCCCTCTTCTGTCCCAGGCTGCCCTAGAGGTTGTCCTGCCCCAGGCTGAGGTGCTGGGTGATGCTGATGTGGACATCACTTCCTCTGGACTACTGCTGGGATCTCTGTCTTCCTTGGGGGGAAACCTTGGCTCTCTTAATCAGGGATCCAGGAGTGGGCCGTGACTGGGGAGCTGAAGGCTTCCTGGAGCAGGGATGGGAGGCAGAATGCAGAAGAGGTTGAGGAGACAGAAGGACTGGCCTCCCTGATGCCTCCACCCCTCCTTTCTTCCCTGCCTATACCCATGCACCAACCTACCCATCATTCCTAGCATATAAGAGGAGCCTTGGGTAGCCTAAGGCAAGTACCTTGATTCCTTGGATAGGACCCACATTTAGGCAGGCACAGGTGCACAGGAGTCTTCAGGAGAGAACCAAGTAATTATAATTGGAGGCCTTAGGGCTTCCATCCCTTGCTGAGCTGGGGACTCACTAATATTTCTTCTGCTTCTGGGGAATGACTCTTGCCTCCAGGGATGCTCTTTGTCCTCAGCTCACTCAGGAAAATTATAGGCTTGTGTGTCCCTCCAGGCTCAGTAGGGTGCCTGTTTTCATTCCTGCTTTGGGTTTGTGGACCAGTCAAGAAGTTTTGAAGGAAAGTAGCCTTTTGTCCTATATTACTCCAAATCTGCTGCCCCAGGCTAGACAGAACATCTGCCATTCCCTTTGTATTGTTTCTTCTGTCTCCTTTGACTTTATTCTCCTATGTTTCCCTCATGTCTCCTTCACCGTTCCTCCCTTACCATCCATTTCTGTTACCATCTACCATCCCCTGCCATCTCCTTGCCTCTTGAGCCATGCCTCCCTGAACTCCATTTCCCAACATTTCAAAGAATCCTGGCCACCTGGCAAGGTGACAGGGCCCTAAGCTCCAGTCTTATGCCCTGCTCCCTTAAAGGTCATCTCTGAAGATTCTGAGGAAAAGGAGGGAGGCAGGGAGAGGAGGAAGCCCTGGACCCTGGGTTCCCAATGTGGCTCCTTGTGACCAGTGCAGTGTGGGTGGGAGTTACCCAGGCATGGGAGGCAGGAAAGGTGAGGAGAACAAGAGGGAGAGCCAGGGACAGATGGAAGAAATGTTACTAAGACTTGAACTCTCAGTCACTTCTTGTGGCTTTTGGTTTTCCAACAGTGCTGTTCTGAACTGTTTCCCGGAGTTGTTATGCCTGGTAAGGTCCTAGCTTCATCATTTGTCTTCCTCTTCTTTAAATACAAGACCTCAATTCTTGTTCCCAAGCCCTTCGTGTCTTTCTGGGTAACATGTGTGTTTCAGACTAATATTTAAGTGCTATGGATTATTGAAAGAAAAGAAAACATAGATCTTTTCCTTAAGGGATGGGAAAATTCTATAAGCGGAGAATGATGGAAGCAGGAGAAAGGGGAAGATATCTTTCAGACATCCACTGTAATCTCACAGCCTATGCTATTTCTTGGGCCATTTCACACCTGGCTCTTATCCTGTCTTTGGTCTGTTTAGCTCCTTGGGAAGCATCATATGCCAAGTCCCCCATCTCTTCTCCTAACTTCTTCTTTCCTGCAGGATGGCTTCAAATTATTCCCAACAGTTGACACCTACACTTTGGCAATAATAAAACCACGACAGGTGAGGAGGGACCATCAAGAAACAAAGAGTTGCAAGGGAGGATTTTGTCAGCCACATAGTTTAAAAGTACCTTTCATTTCAGGAAACCTACAGAGGATCTGAAAGTCTGAAGGATCTGATCGTGCAATTTATGCTTCAGTGAGTTACCCCAGCAGTCTGAGAAAGTAGGAGGCCAGGCTGGGCTGGGCTGTCTTAGCACAAGCTTGTGTATAAGAGTTTTCAGGTATCATTTGGGACTTGTACTAGAGGTAGCCTGTCCCCTTTGCTGTACTTCCCACAGGTATTACTTGATCTATGACTATGGTGACCGACGCAATCTCCTCACTGCTTACCATGCAGAAGCCTGCTTCTCCCTGACCATTACTTCCAACTCTGACAAGCCAAACATGTGAGTATCACAGACAAAGCTTTATCCTGCAACAGGATTAAAAAAAAACACTTTTAGTATGGGGAGGGATGAAAACACCAATAATGACTGTAATACGCTCTTGTTCTTTTTTCTGCTAGGAGAACTTTAGAAGAATACTTCAAGGATAGTAGGAATATGAAGAAGATCAAGGACTCCTGTAAGGATGTAATGAAGTGGTAAAGAAGGCAATGAAATGGTCCAAGACCCAGTGAGGTATAATGACTACCATCTTTGCCTCTCTACTTTATACAGTTTTGCGGATGCAGCTGCTGAAGCACAAAAAATGTAACATTGTGACCTGCCTTCATGAACTGCCAAAGACTCAGCACGATTTAACTTCCTGTGTAGTAGACATTTGTGCCCAGACAGTAAGTACCTGTTTCTTCTCTTAGGCAGGACCAGAAAGGTACAAGTAAGTAAGTTTTGGAAGAATGGTCAAAGCCGTAGTTTACCATTTTCTTTCTTTTTTTTTTTCAGGAAAAAATGATCTGCTTTTCCGTCAACGGGGTGTTCAAAGAAAGTAAGTGTAGAATCTTCTTATTAGAGAGTTTTGGGGGCTCCTTTTTCTTGGTAGAGGTTTCTACCAGAACCTTCCCAGCTGCCCCCCATTCCCTTTTCATTCTCTTCTTTTCCTTACTGATTCATTGTTTCCAACATGTTTTCCACCATATCTGTCTGCCCTGCACACTCCAGGCATTAGGGCTATAGAGTTAGATTGCTTTCATTTCAAGTCTTTCCTTGCTGAACTATGACCTGTTAACCCATTATTTTCCCCATTTCCCCAAAGTGGTTAATAATAGCCACTCCTTAACTAGGAATAAACTGGATTGATTTGTCACGGAAACTAGTCTACATTAAGAGGGACCTTGCATGGAAAACTGAGTATTCCTATTATTTCTCTTTGTGCCTGAAAATTCCTCCTGACTGTTCGTGAAAAGTGTCCCAGTCAAGCTTCCTTCTGGGTGCCCCAGATTATCTGATCAGGCCCTCATTGGGGAGTGGTGTGTGAGTTTTTAAATCATGTACACCCACAATGGGTTTGTTTCTTTGTTGCCATTGAAGTGGAAGGAACGTCTAAGGGATGCATTCGTGCCTTTACCCGGACATTCATCTTAACTGCTGGCAGACATTTCAGGTGAGTTATGTTGTGGATGGCTCTAGAAATACCCATTCAACCTTAAGCCAGTGGGGCATTAGCATACTCTTGGGAAATTCTCAATAGCATAGAGTACAAACAGCTAGATCTAAGAAGTTGTCTCAGTAAGTGATTGTGAGCATGGATTGATTTTTTTTTCTTCACACTCACTAATTAGCTGTGTGACCTTGGGCAAGTTATAAGTCTTCTCTGTGAGTTCAGTGTTCTCTGAAAATGTGCCAGTGGACACTTCTTTTGAAAAGTGTAAACAATCGAGAGTTAGGTCTACGGTTTAATGAAGCTGGCAGGCAATCTTTCAAAGGGTATTCCTATGACAGAGGAAATGGATATCAGCTAATGAAGTATGGAAACAGAGGAGGGGTTTGCTCTTCCAGGCTTTGCATTGTGAATGATGAGATGATTCTCAGGAATGCCACTGCTCAAGAGACCAAGAAGGCCTTCTCTACCACCATGCCCACAATCGTCTATGCCAAGGGTCATCAGCAGATGAAGGATTTCCCCACCTGGACTGATTTGACGTGAGTTCTGGGAATTGCTGGCGATATCCTGAGTTAAAAGAAGTAGAGATTTAATAGACATTTACAGCTCTTCAGATGTTGTGAAGCCAAGTAATGAACCAAAATGTTAAAAATATGCATTAATTTTATAGTGATGTTATAAGCAATTTAAAACAATGTAATGTTCATATCAGACAGTGTGATATTCTGTGTCAAATTATAGGAAAAACATTAGGAGGGATTATAAATAGATGCATCAGCCTTATTTCAGGGTTCAAAAATCTATATACAAAATTCAGTTGTATTACTTTATTCCAGCTATGAACAATTAAAAGTAAGTTTAGAAACCAATTCCATTTGCAATATCATGAAAAAGAAACATACCCAGGGACACGCTTATTAGCAAAGATGTTAAAAATACTACAAAAATAAATAAGACTTAAACAAACAGACTTAAACATATTTTGTCTTCCTGAGCTAGAACACTTAATAATATTGTGAGAAGAAACTCCTTAAATTTTTGTTCATATTATATACCAATGCAATCCATATCAAAATTTCAGCCACTGTCTTTGTAGAGACATGCAGGTCAACCTTAAAATTCAAATGAAAGTGAAGTGAACACATAATAAAAAATAATCTTGAAAATGAAGAAGTTAGTTAGAAAACTCACTGCAAAGTTACTATAAACTTACACTAAAGTATAAGAAAAAATAATGCTAGGTGCCATAGGTCCAGGAATAGATACATAGAATAATTGATAAAGTACAAGCCCGAAAGCATAAAATCATAAATTTTCACATTGGTAGATAATTGATTTTCAAACAGAGTGCCAAAGACACCAAAATCGAAAAATATCTTTTTGAGCAACTGGTACAGGGACAACTGGTTATCCCACTCACAAAATAATCAAATTTTACTCTATCACATATAAAAATAGGTCTGGTGCTAAGTGTGATGGTGCATATCTTTAATTCCAGCATGAGGAGGTAGAGGCCGGAAGATTCCTGAGTTACAGACCAACTTGGTCTCAAAATGAGTTCTAGGCCAGCTAAGGAGACCTTGTTCACAATGAGACCTTGTTTCA